TAAACAGATATTCGTAATGGTTTACATTACCATGTTACTGATATCCAAACTAAGTACTGAATAATTCCTGTTGTTATATGTTCTTCTTGATTAAATTGCCGCTATATTTCTTTTTTACTAACAAATTTTTAGTATATCTAGATAGTGACTAGCAGGAAAATACAAATCCTAAGGAATAACCATTATACTTATTGAATAAGTTAGTAGACACCTGAACTTATTAGCGTCATGAAGAATGCGCTGGTATCTTAACCGACTGGTACTTGGCTCAAATCTCAGTGTAGACATCAAAATTAAGTTACGTATAGATTTAGTTAATGGTTCTTCAAAAAGTAAAGATTAATTAGTAATGGATTTTTGTTGGAATTCTAAAAATAACAGATATCATGTTCCGAAGAAATTGAGTCTGCAAGGGACAAGGGCTTTCAACAGTGGAATAGCTTGGCATTTACTTGACACTGGACATACTATTGACATACCTCATGCTTTTAAAATTATTAGCAGACAAACAAATACTGCTTCTCGCCGTTTTGCGTAAGCGATCGCGATAAACATAACTCAAACCGGATCTATGTATTCAAAAAGATACAGTAATAAACCTATTACTAACCTGGTAATTCAATTTTTTGTCATTAGTTTTTTTTGTGTTAATGTCTAGTTTGTGTTATATTTCTCTTCTGTTACCGTATTCTTAAACTACTCCATCACTCACACATTTCCACTCACTTGATTCTCTTAAATTATGTGAACTCTTCAAATTCTATTCAATTATTACTTAACCCATCTTATCAGTGTTTAATTCCATGATTCCTTCATTACCTCTAAAATTATCACACAATTTATCTTAACTGTCTCTGAACTCCACCGACAAACTGGAAGAAGAATTAAGGAACGTAGAAAAATGTCTAAAAGAAAACTTTTATCCACAAAAGTTTATTGACAAATATAAAAGGCCCAAGGAAAAGAAGACGGTAATAACTACGGTCAATAAAAAGCCAGTATATATAAATCTTAACTTTAAAGGTGATAACGTCGCACAAATTATCAACAAGAGACTGAATACAGCGCTAGCCAGAACTTATCCGGTTGCTAAACTTTTAATTCTTTATAAAACAACATGTTCAATAACCCAATCGAAGACCGACAAGCAACCCTTTCATGTTACCGACAACTGTATTTATAAATTCACGCGTACCTGCCAAAGCAGCTACACCGGCCGAACTGAAAGGAGAGCATATCTTAGATTCTTTGAACATGTTCCAAAAAGTCTTAGAACAAGGGAAAGAAAGACTCTGAATAGTGCAATCACCAAACATCTCCTTGATACAGGACATCAATCCTTTAGGGTGATCAGTAAACAGCCAAACTCCAGTCTTCTGAAGTTTGCTGAAGCCATTGCTATCAGGCGTCAAAAACCTGACCTATGTATTTAAAAGAAGACGGTGGTTAATCTTTCCTTGCCCTGGTGACAAATATTCCTTTCTTTTGCATTTATTACATCGTTTATGTTATTTTATTTTTTCAACTATCTTTCAAATGAATAGTCTTTCAACTGAACTCTACTCACTGTATTCCTATCAATGTTTATTCATTATGTAATCAATTGTTTCTAACCCCCTTTTGAACTGTTGTCACAATTATTGGTGCAGAATATTCTTTCACATTAGGTATATATTTACAATATTCAGTAAGCAATTCGAACCCATTATGTAATTATGATTTTTAAATATCACAGGTTGTAAGCAGTTGACGAGAACCTACGAAATAAAATGAATCCATACTATTCTGCTAGAATCTTTGTTCTCACTCTTTTCAAAATGATAAGGGGAACTATGTGTATTAATTTGATCAAATACATGAATCAAGTTAATAATTATGAATCTTTTTGATTGAGATCATGAACCGATTTATGTTAGACCACCACCTTTGGAAACCTGAAAGCACTGGACGGCCGTTTCGTCCTATTGTGGGACTCCTCGGCAGTGCGCATCCACGATCCCGCTCGCGGGATTCGAAATAATTGTAAAGAAAATGTTTGGCTGCTGCTTCGGTTTGGGCACCCAGGCAGTATCACAGCTTTCGCACAAATCAAATGAGATTTGTGTGGCGCATATGTATTTGGTATTTCCTTGTATCAATATCTATGTGTTCAAACAATAATAATAAGTCAAAGAATAATGTACAATTCTTCTGTTGTAGTTTAGAATTTTTCAGTACTGTATATATAATACCATATAGGGTTAAGTTTTAAAGTCTTAAAGTGTCTCAGTGATTGTGATAACAGTTGATGTACACAGATAAAATATATAACGATCTGAATTTTGCAACGTTCCTTAACTAATAGGATCAATTCTCATAAACCGTTATGTGGTTGAAAGTAGTCGATAAGAAACTCTGAATGTAGGTTTCTTTCTAAAGGCTAAGATTATGTTCCATGTCTCATACATTGGTCATAATTCATAAATAAACAAATAAACACTTAGGTAATATTTGTGTTCATATTATATCCTTTTGTGATCATTTGTTTACTAAAAAAAATATGTTAACTTGGCTCTGTTAAATGATATAATCACTTAAATAGGATCATGTTTAGATCATTATATTGTTTTCGAAATTTAACACATGACAAACACCTCACTATGACAATTATTATCTCCCTTTGTTATTACTAATTCAAAAGAATAAAACGGATTCGTTCATACTGTTTACATAACGACTCTCTTTGTCATTGACTCATTAGATGACTCATTTTTCTCTTTTAAAAAATCTTCTTATTCCTTAATATACCGGTTAGGTAGTTGAATTCTGAATGAATATTTTATTGCCCCCAAATGCCCTGGTACGGCCGAGAGTGGGGAGGGTCCGCTCTCCCTCTCAAAATGCTCTCACATGGCCACGCGTATATAGCCTCTGCCAGGGAAGTCTTACTCACTGCCTTCTCGTGGCGAGGGTGTTGTTTACGAAATCGAGAGGACGAAAAGCGAATGTCCGGCGCCTTAACCGGGTTGGTGGACATGGAGAGTCCACCTAGAGGAGTTGGAAAATCCCCATTCTAAACCAATGTTGCACATGGGCTCCAGTATCCTGAGGGAACAAATGGCGTATGAACCAATCGTTGGTCATCGGCTACCATGGGACTGCATCTCCTTACGTTGCTCCACTGCCTTGTGGATCAGACCTCCAGGTTGAAGGCTCCGAGCGTGACCCTTAAGAACACCACCTGCTTCGGTTTGGGCACCCGGGCAGTATCACAGCCCTCACACATTTCGGATGAGATTTGTGTGGCGTATATCTATTTGGTGCCTCCTTGTACCAATATCTGTGTGTTAAAGTAAAAAAAATAAATTTCTGTGAGAGGACTATTTGTAAAGAGAGAATTGACATTCAATGACATCATTTTCTTATTACATTTACATTGATATTTCTAATTGAGTCGACAAAGTCACTTGACTGCTAAATAGTTAGTTGACATGTTACAATCCGTTAAAAATCATAACAATAGATACAACTCTCTTATTTCCTTTGATTTTATCGACTTAATTAGAAATATCAATGTAAATGGTAGAAAAATGATTACATTGAATATCACTTCTCTCCTGACAAATGTTCCTCTTACAGAAACTATATCAGAAGGGGTTTGCGGAGATCTTTGAAATTTCACAGATTGAAATCATGAGTCATTTGAAGCTAGACCACTATGAAAAACTTGGAAGCACTGGACCGCGGTCTAGTCCTAGTATGGGACTCCTCAGCAGTGCGCATCCACGATCCCACAACCCGCGAGATTCGAACCCAGGACCTATCAGTCTCGCGCCAAGCGCTTAACCAACTAGACCACTGTTTTTTTCCTGTGTTTTTTATGTGACTATATTGAAAATAACAACCTTGATATTTGTATCCTAAAACATTATCTAAAAGAGCTGCTTCTCAACGTACAATTTAGATTTAATGATGATTTCTATAGACAAACAAATGGAGTTACAATGGGTTCTCCATTGGGTCCCCTATTGACTGATTGATATTGTTTCATGTTACGATAGAAGAAATATTCATTTTTAATTGTACCAACTCATCTAAAATAGAAAATGAAAAACACATTATTCTCAATTCTACAGTAATCAATCATAATTAAGATCATTATAAAGTGTTATTATGGAAATGTAATTTACATCAGTGATGTAAAGCAATTGCTTGATCTAAGGAGACTTAAAAGTTCAGAAATCGACTCATAATGAGGTCGTACTTACATGTTGTTAAAAAGTTTCATACTAGGATGGAATAGCTATTTTACATGCTTACTAGTTTTCATTAGTTTTCTAGTTGGATATAATTTGTGATGTAAACCAAATTATCTGGATGAATTTTCTATCCTATCCTATTTTATCTATAAGGGTTAATGATTTCTCATGGTTAATGTTAAAATATGCTACGCATAAGTCTCTACTGGTATATTTTGAACTGCGTTCGAGTTCACGAGTGAAAAGCAACGCTGGAATGCAAGTAAAGCCAGCTAACGAGTCTTAAACAAGATGAAACCCGTGTCCTCAATTTCATTGCTAGCCACGTTGCATCCATTATATGTAGACTTGTGTCATAATGTCTATATCGAGGCAATTCGCATGGAATGCACATATGCCAACTAGGACTAACCAAAATGTAGTCATGAATATCAGCAACGAGATAATCCAAACCACTATAAATTAAATTAAAATTCATACCCATTACAAAGATCAATGATTATCTGAACCCATTAACTCAGTAGATAACGTTTCGTTGCTTCAATTTAAGGGTATTGGGTTCAAGTCTCTGTGTGAACAGTAAAATTAAGATATAGTTACATTTAGCTAACGAGTCTTAAATAGGACGAAACTCACAACCTTGACTCTACTGTTAGTTATCATTCTAATTTAATGATTGTTTAAACTGGTTTGTTAAAATCTACTTTATTTTAACTGTTTTTTTTCATTATATTACCATTGTCGTTATTATTCTATTTTCAGGAAAATGAAAAAGATAAAACCAATCTATATGTGACAAATCTTCCAAGAACATGGACAACAAAAGATAGTGATCAGTTGAAAGCAGTATTTGAACGATTTGGTCATATACAATCAGCATTTGTTATGATGGAACGCTTAACCAACAAAACAACTGGTTAGTGGTGATAATTGTAGTGTAAAATAATAAGGAAACGTTATAAAAATGAATTACTATGAAAAAAATGGTTTGCACTAGTTTTAAAATGCTAACCGGTGTTCGGGATGGTTGAGAGAAAGTTAGGGTCGGTCAAACCAAAACGTGGCACCTGTGCTTGAAGTCACTAACTTCTAGTCTGAGCCATGTTTGTAGATGCAGACTACTTGGTTGGGGTCCGCGTGACTATCGTAACCAATGGTTGGAGACTGTGGGTGACATGGCTCAGAATCGATCACAATGGTGTAGGTGTATACACTTTCTGTCTTCCCTTAAACTATGAGATTAACATCGCTTCATATCTTTCTTTCTACGAACTAATTCTTTCTTTTTGTGCTATACCCTTATTGCAATCTTTCTTTTATATATTACCACCTCTGAATTAACTACTTTTATGAATCCGGTGTTCATCTTGCTGTGCTAATGAAGTATGGCAACTTGGACCGATGCATATATGTGCCTGGTCCTACGTTGTAGCTGACTGACTGACTGACTGAATGATATTTAGTTTTCAATTTTGAAACAATTTAGTATTAGAGTGAACTATACAAATGTTTTGTCTTCGGTGTGTGATACATCCACACAACCCTACTTGGGCTCGAGACGAGAATTTAAAAATGATTATTAGTGTAAGGGAATTTGCAGGAGTTGTAGAACTTTCATAGTTTAAATCCCGAACTTAGCTAGAAAACCATCGAAAATCAGAGAGAGCCGAATAGGCATTTGTATTAGTTTGGAACTCCTCAGAAATGCTCATCCACGATCCCACAATAGAGGATCGAACCCAGGACCATCAGTCTTGTGTACAAACGCTTAACCTCTAGATCAATAAACCAGGATTTGTGACTTAAACTGTGAAAACTTCACAATTGCCACAAATTTCCTAAACAAGTAATAACCATGTGCTTACTACTGATTGACTTCATAATGCAACTTCTGGAATTATAATGAGAAGCTGTGACTAATGGAATTCAACCATTTCAGGTATGAGATAGTTGTCCACTGTAAATAATGGGTGGAGGTTGAGCAAAATCTTAGATTGATTGAATTTGGACACTAATACTGTCGGATGTTGGCTGAATGATCTGGAAGTTAGGCGTTCATGCAGGAGGCTAAGTGTCGTGGTTGATGTCCTCCATGGTGAATAAGCACTACTCAGGAGTCTTATATTAAGATATTAGGTCCGTATTTTTCTCTCAGGCTTCCAATGGTTATCTGTCTAAGATCAGTTAATGATTTATAAATGATACAACAAAGTTTTCACAAAAGTATTCCAGTTATAAATAGTAATAATATTAATGGTCATATACCTATTTAAGTTTGAATCAATGAACGAATGACTTGAATCTTATTAATTACGCTTTTATTTCAAACCTACTGAACAGGGTAAAATAAATATTTGGTAGGGCTATAATTTATGGACGACTTTTGAGCAACGCCAAAGTAACCTTGAGACTATCCACTCGATAACTAAGACTAAATGTGGGTTATAAACCAGTGTAAGGTATTAGAATTAGGACTTACAGTTGATGGTTAAGATTAGGAATTAGATTTAGGGTTTGTATCACAAACTGGCATCAGGTATAATCCCAAAACTCTATTTAGCCAAATGAATGAGTTAATTTTGAGCCAAAATCCAAGACCTGTTATCTTTCATCAGATTGGTTCATCAATAAATTATAGTCTCGCCAAATATTCTCATCGGTAATATATCAATCAATATAATAATAATTATTGTAGTAGCACTTATTATAATTGTTATGTAAGCTTTTTATAACCATGCAAATTTACTGATTTTCTTCCGATCATATTCGCATTTATGTTTATTTATAGGTGTTGGTTTTGTACGGTTTGTCAATGAACAAGATGCGGTGAATGCTTTAGAATCTTTAAAATTGCATCCACTCACTTTACCTGATTGTTCTGTTCCAGTCGAAGCGAAATTCGCTGATAAACATAATCCAGACACAAGAAGACGACGTTATCCTGTCACAGCGACAACTGCAGCAGCCGCGGCAGCCGCAGCTGCTGCCGCCGCTGCCTCAGCAACAATGATTGCTAATGTTAATTATAATAATCTATTGAATTGTCCTTTATATACAACACCGAATGGTTTAACATTAACATCACATGATGCTTTAGCTTCATTATTAAATACAGGTTTAGTTAGTCCATCGATTGTCAATAGCCAATTAGCAAATTTCTCCGCTTTACAACAAAAATCCACAACAGATTTTACGTCACGTTTTAATTCCGACTTATTGAATGGTTTTATACAACCAACTAAATTTTCTAATGATTCATCGATCAATACTACTTGTAATAATACCACTAATATTAGTCATTATAATCATAACAATAGTATAAATAACAATAATACTAATAATGCTAATGGTTTAGTTACTGATTTCAATGGTAGCGGAACACGTGAATCAAATTTAGCTGCATTGGCGGCTGCCGCAGCCGCTGCGGCATCAACTATATTCTGTGGATCACCAACATCGAATAATTTCATGAATAATTGTCTACGTTCTAATCCTACTGTTAATGGTACACCGAATTTAAACGCCGGATTATTATCCGCTAATCAAATTGCTCTACTTGGTACACCGACTATTCCTTCTCCAGATACAAAATTATTTGATCCTAGGTAGGTTAGTCAGTTAGTGAAGGAATAAACAATTGTGTATTTGTATGTTCATCGCTTATTCCTGATTTCACTTTTGTTACGTATAAATAATTATAAATAGAAATATAAATCATTGGATGGGAACACAGTAGTCTGAAGATTAGCTGCTTGCCTCGAGACCTTAGGTTATTAGGTTCAATTCGTGAATAGATCATAAAAGCCCATTGCTACTAAGGAGAGCCGTATTAGAATGAAATAGTTATTAAGTGTTTTGCAGTCTGAAACCATTTTTTTACATTAATTATGCGGACCCAAACCACGTAATCTGCACTCATAAATACTCCTTGGTCCAACAGTCAGTTACTTTATTGACTGATATCCCATTTTTTATACGGCCATCCTTAGCTTTCTTTAAACCTAATCCTACACTAGCAAACACCGTGTATAGGGGTAAACGATGGTTGGGCAGCGTAGTACTTATCTTGCATCTACACGAAATGACTCGATAACTTCAAGTTATTCTACTTGACTTAATATTCGAAAGTTCTATTTTCAACTCCATTGTCTATTTGGTCGTTGTGAATACATGGTGTTAACCACTAAGATGATCACAAATTCAGATCACATTCAATATTTCTGATCTGTTTTATAACATTTATACTCGTATTGTATAATTGCATATTTATTAGCATATGCAGTAATTCATGTCTATGTATACAAGGAACAACAGCCTAATGGTTTAACATTTTATTCATGAATTCACAGCTTTGAATCTCACTTCACCTAAACTGATAAGGGTAGTATGGATGGAATTGCCATCCCTGAATTACACTTACACAAGGAGAGAGGAAAAATTGTAAATCAGGGTTGAATAAATAAATATAAACTTGGTGCATGAGTTTAATAAGTAACATAACAAGTTACATTCGTCGAGCATTGACCTCAGTTAGGTTGTCATAAAAAAACAGAAGGTAGTGGGTAGTTGTTTCGTCCTCCGAATGTGCTCCTTAGAATTGACTATTCACAAGTCCGCTAGAGATTGAACTCAGAAACGTTATGTCCTGCAGTACGGCGAAACAACTGTCCATTCGTTTTTAATTTTTAAAAATACCCTAAGTGAGATCAGTCTGCGACGGAAACAACCTACAAATCAAGTCAATCTCTGTAAGAAAATTCTTATCAACTGGTCTTATCAAACACATATTCATGTGTTTGTTAGTGGTAGACTTGTAAATTTTCTAAGGACAACTTGTATCCTGTAAAGTTCTGTGATGGCGAATACCAGACAAATATCACAGATGGCTATGGATGATGGGCACTTGATATTGTGAATGAGCTGAAGTTGGGAATGTGAGTCAATGAATGTTAATGTTGTGCTCGTGTAGCAAGACCTGAAGTTCGCGAGTTCGATCCCTGGTGGCTTAATAGTTATTTAATATTGTGAATTCGTACACTGAAACGAACAGTTGTTCGCTGCTACTTGGATTTCAATAATTCCGTTATGTTCTGCCATCCTCCGAGTCTGTCATTAACACAAAAGCTTTGTATTCGTGATCCTAACCTGCCACATGAGTGAGAAAATCAACATTGTGTAGGATGCTGGGATTAGATAAATCGAATAGAAGATACGTGTACAACTGTTTCATAAATATTTATCTATTTGCCTGTGAAAATTAAGCAACCTTTTCAGCTAATAGCTTATATCGATTTATTCGAAAAGTGAAACGAAATCTTGACCAGTAACGTCCGTTCACCAGTATCTAAGATAATGCAGCCATAAACTGATATACCCGATTGATTCAGTGTATCAAACTGACAATGTTCCATGACACTATACTACCTTCAAATTGAACAACCGTTACAAATCTTCTATACCCGGGAAAAAACATTGTCTTGGATTTGTGGATGAACGCCACTGAAGAGTCCTATACCGGGACCAAATAGCTGTTTAATTCTTCCTGATTTTCAACGATTATCTAACTAAATTTATTCCATAATGTAAACCATAAAATTCTTCAATCTTTTTGTATTTTTATACATTAATTATCTTGTCACTTTTCTTAACCTAATAACCAGTTTATACGGATGTTCATTATACGGGACTGATTACTTTCGCCCACAACAACAATCTCATCAGCATGCACAGCAACAGCAACAACAACAACAGTCTCATCAACAATCACAAAAACAACAACAACACTTACTCTCTGTTGCCATGGCAGCAATGACCAATCCGACTTTACAAGGATGTGTTTATCCAACAACAGCTGATTTAAATACTACTTTCAATGCAACTTATCAAAATTTTTTGAATTCACACAATTCAACAACTATTCCAATACAAACTGATGCACTTGGTAATTGTTTAACTGGTACACCAGAGAATATTACTTTGAATGGTACAATTTATGCCAATCATCCTCATCAATCCCAACAACAACAAACACAACAACAAAATAATTTACTTCCGTCAACACCAATTCCAGGTTCCATAACACATATTCCTGATGCATTAAATAATAGTACTAGACCGGAAAGTGGATTATATCAATGGTTAATACCAAGTCATTTACTTAAAACTAACGGTAATAATAATAGTAATACTAATAATAATACTAATAATGATTGTCATATGACAATACCGGCTTCACCAGCGTTTTCATTGAACCCTGCCAATCATTTAATTGGATTAGATAAAACCAATCGACATGTGCAAATGTTATTATAATCAATAAGAAGTGAGTCTAGTTCTTTTTTCCCAAGTGTCAAGAGTATCGTATAGTAGGTACATCTAGCTGACGAGTCCAAAATAGGACGAAACGCGCGTCCTGGATTCTACTACTATCCAACATCCATATTTGCTTATAATGCTTATGACCTACTCGCAATATAAACGTAATCTGCACAGGATGCATAGTTGCCAATAAGAGACTAGTCAATTGCAGTCCTAAACATCAATGGGAAGATTCAAACAACCAATACAAAATGAATTATCGTATAGTGTTGGATTTTGGCTAGAGTAGTGGAATCCAAGACTAAGTGTTTATTCTTAAATGATACTCGTTAAATTTATATATTTGATACTCAGTGTTGATATTCACACTGAAACTTGAACCTAGTAATCAAGTGTTGCTATGCCCTGAGCTAATGAGTTCACATAGCTACTAACTTGTCTAACGGTTATTAACGTTTGTGTTCTTTCATTGTTGATATTATGGACTGTGATTAGTTATTCTTTGTCTGTGTATATGTTCACCCTGGTCATATTACTGAAATATAACTATTTAGTCAATGAAGTTTCAATAAAGTTGAATTATATCTATCCACTGTTAAGAAAAAAAAGAAACACGACACACTTTTTCTCTTAGGTGGATAGACGTACCTGTATCTTAATGTTGATGTTGAACCCAGTATTTATGCACTGAATTATTTGTAAGTTGACATTAGATTTTGTGATACCATTTTGTATTCAGTAAATTCCTAATGTGCAAATTATAATTAACTAAACATCGGTAGTGGGAGATGAGGATAAACACAAAGCTTTTAATAAAGAAATAATCCAAATCATTTAGGGTAAAATGTACATTCTTACCTACAAGCTCATTTAAACACATATACAAACAAGTAGATAATTTTTGAACACGTTTTCTTCATGATGATCAATTTACCGCACACACCTATTATGCATACACGCACTGGTAAGCTGTTTCAAAATTTTTCTTACAGAAAATAAATAGCTATTTATTTTCAAGCTCTATTTTTATTTTGATTGAGATCATGAATCGATCAATGTTAGATCATCACTTAAAACCTGGAAATATTGGACGGCCGTTTCGTCTTAGTACGGGACTGCTCGATAATACGCATCCACGATTCCGTACGCGGAATTGACACACAGAACCTTCCGTCTCGCATACTAACGCGTAACCTCTAAATAGTGATCTAACATCGATCGATTCATGATCTCAATCAAAAACTTAACAATCTCCACAACTCCATATTCATAAATTTTTCCTTATTTCCCTATTTTCTTAGGTATTCCGATCATGTTAAAACGAACTGAGTCAACAAAGAAATCGGAAGTCTTTTTGGTTATTCAATTTCAATAATAAAGAAAATATTGATATCATTCACTGTTCTTAAACATACCTTTTCTTTCTTTTCTTTCTCTCTCTCTCTCTCTCTCTCTTTACCCTCACTGTTTGTTTACAATCATTATTTCTTTGTGAATAAAACTAGTTTCATATAACGAAAAAGTGAATAATTCTTGCTCATATTTCTGAATAAGCAGACAACGTACATACGTATGCATGTGTAAAGTTTGAGTGTGTGTGTGTGTGTATTTGTGTGTGTATGTGTGTGTGTATTGGAATGTGTTTGCACACATGTAAGTGATTTCTCAAATTCAATCTTGTAATCAATCACATAATCGATAATTAAACAGGCAGGTTTTATTTTTTTTTTAATGTGCATTGATCGATGAAGCATTTTACAGGTTTTTTTCTTTTTCATTTTTGTTTGATTTCTCCTTTTTTTTTCTTTCTTTCTGTATGTGGATCTCTTCAAGCTCTTCAAAGATGAATTATTATTATTATTATTAATTTCTTTCATTAATCAACGAAATCAGTGATATGTGATGTGTGTGTGTGTGAGTGCATGTGATTTCTTTTCTATTCCGTTTTTTGTCTGTTAATCAATCAATCAATCAACTAATCAATCAATCGATTATTTATTGATCAATCAATCCATTTGAAGTTTCGATTATTTTGTATGTCTGTGTGCACAACACAATTTGTTGTTTATTTATTCAATAAATAAAAAAATAATTGTTTTCATGATCCATCTATTTTGAACAATTTGCCTTTCAAGCACACACGCACACACACCAACATACATACACACACATATATTAGACACATACAATATGACCTGAACTGTTTAAATTGTAACTGAATCGATAAGATGGTGTTAAAAATTGGAAGCTTGAAGCACACAACTTGTTTGTTTTTTAAAATGCTCTAAAAGAGAAAACAACAACAACAACAACACTGATTTAGTTGTCAAGCCAAAAAAATAATAACCGATTTGTTTTTCTTTGGTTTCATTCAATAGATATATATATATATATATATATATATATATATATATATATATATATATATATTTTGTCTGTTGTTATGACTGCCTTTAGTGTATTGTATATTATATGAATGTATCGAAGATATGCACAGTTGTAAGTGAAGAGATAATGTTCCGAAAATGGTTAATCCAAATAAAAATATGTAGGAAATATTTTTTCTGAAAAAATACCCGTCAAACTAAAATCCCCCCCTTTTTATTAAACAAGAAAAGAAAGAAAAAAAAACAATATGGTGATAGTTCAAGAGTGAAACCATAGAATAGAATTGAATTCAATGAAAGGGATTGAAAGGTACTCAATCTTTTTTGTTTGTTTGTTTTTGCTTTTTATGCATCAATCTAAAGGTGAAATTGTTGTTTATTTTCATTTGTTTTAAACAAATCTACTACTTTAATGAACTTCATCTTGTACTCTTTCATTTTGTGTAATAGATGATATTACTTCTGTTTTTGTTTTGTGAGTAAGATTATTTTTATCTTGTACATGCGCAAGCGCATACAATTGTGTATTTAAACAAATGAAATGGATATATTGAAGAAAATTTTTTTGTTAAGGAAGAAAAGTGGGTAATTTTCTGTGATCTGTTTTTCACATGTTTGTCTGTTTTTATGACAAGGAGAAAGAGAGGGAGAGAGTGAGAGAGAGAGAGAGAGAGAGGGAGAAACCGAGGTGAATAACAAACTGTTTGTTTGTCTTTTTCTTTTTCTTCTTGTTTTTTTTGTTTTGTATTAGTTTATCGGAGATTATTGATAGACATTTAAATAAAACAAAATAATCTTTTATGAAATAATCTGTCTTTTATTACGATTGGTTAGTGTTGTTTTCATTACTTTACTGGTTGTCTATTTCAAACCTTTATTGGAGTCAGGGAGAGAGATATATATATATTCAATACTACTGATTTTTAATGAATTCAGTAATCACTAATTGACATATTAAGAAAAAAGGGTTGTCTTTTTTGGTTAAAGTCTGAGAGATCTGTTTATATTGAGGAGGAAATTTGTATGTAAAAGAAATTGACAGGGATACTTTAAAGTGATGGTCAGGTTTGTACATCAGAGGACTTTCAATTGAGCTATATTTGCTGAAATACTTGTTCTTTAGACTTAACGATCTCAGATAAGTTGACAGGAGAATGGTAATACCAAAAGCAGTAAACGTATGGTCCGCGGGCAAAGTCGTACAGGTAATTGTACTGGATGTTATGGTAGTAAGGTGTTTTCAGGCAAACAGCGTTTAAAACGGTGCTGTTTACCCATAAGAGAAGGATGCGGTTAGAAAAGGTTGACCCTAAAAATGGTATACTTCATTTTGTCATACAGATTTTCGTCGTATTCTTCTCCCCAATTGACTGGTAACCTGTTCTGTTTTCATATTGATTCTGACAATAATAGTATAATTGTTATCAGCATTCAATCCAATTCACTATCAAGATAATAAGTAGTCGACCACTTGAGGAGAAATTTTGATTGCTTAACTCATATTGACTGATCTTTGAGTAGTAAACAGTATCACGTTTTTCTATTCCTTGATTGCTGATCTAATTCTATCAATCAAGTTGCGATGTAGCCACTGGTGTGAGTGACTCAACATCTCATGCACTATGTTGAGGTTTTAGGTGGTTAGAGGTAGTCGGCTGGAAACCCTGAATTCAAGTTTCGTGTTAGTTGCTATTTGTTAGTAAGGCGTATCTTCACTCTTGGGGGTGTGGGATAGGATGCTCTCTATGTGTTTAGCATTCACTTCAATTAGCCTTGTAGTCTGAAACATAAAGACTGAGTTATTCAGGCTTTGATTTACTTCTTTTAGCACTGATATATTTACACTAACCGGTCACTGAGTAGTGCTCAATGATAAGTTTGTCAATCACCACCGGCATAGGTCGATTGTGATGTTTAAGACTGTGAATCTGATTGACATATTTTTAACCCTATAGAAATCACCAGCTCCTCAGAGATTGCTAGTTAGCTTTCTGTAAATTTTTCTCCCACTTATCTTCAACTCACTTTGCATTTATAACTCACTTTCTTGTGAAGTTTGTATTCATGAGATCATCTAAGAGGTTAAAGCTAAAAACTTTTCATCTAAATCATCTTGATCACAGAGAATGCGATTTCACTGAAATCATTGGATTTATATTCAATTCTATTTACTATGTGATAACACTTTCATATGTAGTAATGAATAATATGGTCTATGTAAATCGTTTGAGGACTTTAATTTAGTCACTGATGAGTAAAAATCACTGAAATCATAATGAAAAATTAGTTGTCTAGAAATGTGACATATTTATGGAAGATAAAAATGAATATCATGCTGAAATAATGAGGAAAATTTATAATTCTGGTAGAACGTTTTAATGATGTTGTATTCTTTGAATTTGCTATGAATGGGCGAACAAATAAGGATGAGAAACTTTGGAAGTTATTTGCTTTAGTAAATCAGAATATATACATGTAATTTTAATGGAACTCCTCAGCAGTGCGCACCTATGATTCCGCATACAGGACTCGGACCCAGAACATTCGGTCTTGAGCTCGAACGTTTAACCTCTAAACCAGTGAGCCAGTATCCAGCGGTGTTAATGTCTGACGTCAATCGACCCATGTTCTTGCTCAACCATTCATCGATTGTCTGAGGTATATACCTGTCTCTACCAGACACAGATTGAACCCCACTGGTTATGGTTTCATGCTTTACTCATATGATCGCATGAGTTTTATAGCCTAGATAATTTACAGAATAGTGTTATTCTTAGCAAAGTTGTCAATGTATTTTATTTGAATTAAGTGTCACAATTAAATCATTCAACTCAAAGTCCAATAGATGAATATCATGTATTTATAAACCTTGGAATGTAGAGTGTTCATAAGTTATTTATGCAAACTAAAAGGAGATTTCTCTTGTTCTTCAGGTAAGGGGACACAAATAAATTACAATAAATCATAAAACCCTACTTAGTTATATATCATATGAAAGTAATAACAATGAACAATAATAAACCATATATTATATTTTGATAAGAAATAAGTCGTTCAAAATAAACAAAGTTCTAAAAAGTGACATAAATATGGAACCTGGAAAAAAGAGATTCAATGTAACTAACATCATAAGTAAAGGTATGAACAAAATATTGAAATACAATGACATATGTGTGAAATTAGTGGATTATTACAACGAAGAATTACTAAAAGTTACGATACATACTCTTTAGAAATGATTGATTATAGCCAAACTACTGTTAAATTACAAGTAGTATGATTTCTATGCATCAAATAATAAAGAGTTGATGAAATAACAATTTCTGATCTCAGAAGAAGTTTCTTATTTCAAGAATAGTTTAATAATGAATATCAAAACCTTAAAACCTAATTGTGGTATCAAAAATTAACTTTCTGTAATTATCTTACATGTTGATTGGACAGTTAATCAGTATATAAGTGAATTATCATATAGTAGTAATAAATGTGATATTTGTCTAGACCATTGTCGATGATTGAATTCTGTCGATCAAGTCACAATGTGTTCATTAGTCTATATGATTCAATATTTGAAGAACTATGTTGGTATGTTGGGTGCTAAGACATAATCGACAGAAAATCCTAGACTTAAGTTTAGTCCAAGTTGACACTCGTCAGTAATGCACATCTGCAATTTTGAGGAAATATATGCTCCCTACGTGATTTGATCTACATCATCCATATTTGTAACCGGGATCGTTATTACTTGGCTATTTGGGCTGAGACTGATCCCATGTATGAATATGACATTTATAATGGACTGACCGATAGAATTCGTTTGACACTAAATGACTAGACAAACATAACGTTGGTCACTACTCAGTGATCAATTCATATACATTTATAATACCTGCAGGGAGTTATTACAACTTGAATAAATTAGTAGTGGTGTCTCAAACTATGACATTGAGTGATTTGGGTTTGTGGTGACCCATATGCATCTGAACCAATGTTTTGAAATAAAATATTATCTAAGCGCTTGTCAAATACTTTCATCCAATTTTTCTCTTTTGATTGAGATCATGAAACGATTGATGTTAAACCTTTTATTTTTTCGAAGGGTGACACTTTCAGGGGCACGCGTTAACCTGGGGGTGGCTTTATGTGGTCTTGAATCATAAGCACTTAATAAGAATTCATAAGAATAACATGAATTATTGTGACAGACTGTAACAAACTGTTATACATCATTTTTTGATGAATGAATGCTTAATTGTAACATTATTGATTACATTATGTCCATGCATGTCTAGCTCCACTTGCTTGTATTACTACTTGTCTAATTCCAAAAAGATGCTCTTGTTAATTATTCACTATCAACTTTAAACGTGTTTTCACGTGTGTTTGTATGGTATTCGAATTATCGTATGAACTAGGAATTCCAGGATTAACGCAATTGAATTAAGAAGACACAGGCACAAACGAATGTATTGTATTTAGAATTCGAAATCAAGCATTCAACCAGTACAAAGGAATGATTAGTTAATTCAAACACCACATCCGCCACAGCTTAAATAGAAGTATAAGTGTTTGTAATCGGTTGTACGTCTTCTTGTTAAGTTCATCCTGAGTCTGTCCGACATTGTATAAGACAAAAACTTTGTAGTATCTAGAAAGTGCTCATTAGTATTGGAATTAACAAACGAAATCGGAACAGACTCACCTGGAATTGTATACAACCAGCATGTCGGTTTTGTAATGAAATCATTAATATCTAGAATTTGAACCATAGATTTTTCGAAACTATCCTCCCCGACGAAATAATGTTGGATCTTTATATCCCCAAGTTATGAATAATGTGGCTTCATTTAAAACATATTTCTCACATTGTTTAGAGTAAACATTAGAACTGTTTTTGTGATAAGGGTAAACAGAAGTTGATATGAAATCATCCGAAATGTAATCAAACTCGAGGTCACTTAGTACTCGTGCTTCGCATTGAGTAGGTTTTTCACATGGATCAAATGCATTATGAGGATAGGTAATATATGATATGACATCAGGATTTGACTCTTCTGAAATATTCTCATGAAATTCATTAGGACTGTCATTGCAGAGCGTAGGATCGTTAGAAAAACCAGCATCTATCCAAACCACATCAGGTTTTCGGTCATGATTAGGTTCATTTAACATATTTTCCTCAGAATTGCAAGTAATTTAATTAGAAATATGTGAATCATTAGGAAAAGTCATACCTGGTACAATAGCATGAGAATTCTGATAAATCGGTTGATTAGGAACTGTTGTCTCACAAGAATTCTGGATTTCATTTAACTCTGAACTGCCATATGACTCTGCACTGTCTTTTGAAATCGTTGATAAAGATGAATGATCATCATGAATACTCGACTCAGTAGAATCAGAATTACAAGACTTAATATTAGTTGCAGTAAGATGAACATTAGTATTACAAACTGACTGAACTTGTCCAATATCACGACATTTGAAGCACTTAGAAGTACGAAATTTACATGAATTAGAAGAGTGGAACTTGCAACAGGACAAACACTGACCAAAGTTGTCCCCATCCTCGTGAACTGCATCCAAACTCAATGAATTATCTGTATAACCTTGAGTATGCACTGGGTTGGGATGACGTAGTAATGTAGTGGACTTTTTTATATCCTCATGAATCATTTTACGAAATCTTCCTCCTTTACGACATTCGAAATTTGTATACTGAGCATAGTCTAGCAGTAGATCCTTGAGAGCTGTATAAGAAAGCGAAATGGGCTTTTCCGGCGTAGCCAAAGTTCTTAATAAG